ACACGTAATAGCGTTAAAAAATAATTTTTTGTTTTTTGTTTTTTTAAAATTAAAATATAAATATATAGGCATATTAAAATTTTTTTTAATATTATATATCGTAAAAAGAAAAATCGAGATAATATAAAATGTCGAGTACTGCCTTACGTGCAGTAGTCGTTTAAATGTTCTGGAAATCTTACTCTTCTTCCAGAACGCGTCGTTTTAGGTTTATTTTCAGATACATTCGGAGTATCATCGCTAGTGTTGGTTGTCGGTTGAGGAATGAGTGTAGGAGTCGTGTTTGCGATTGTACCGAAGGAAAATCGACGTGAATAGGATTTCCTTCTAAATACGCTGCTTTTAAGCGATCGATGCTGATGCTATCGTTGGTTCCGTTCTTATCGACTATATAGTACTTAGATTCACGTTGAAGAACTTTGAAGGGTCCTTCGTATGCTGATTCGAATGGTCGTCGATGCGAGTCTCGACGAACGAAAACGTGTGTACTATATCGTAAGTCAGGTTGAACGAAAACATCAGTTGATTGAGGTCGAGTGGAAGCAGGTTTAACTGAACGCATTGCGTTTGTAAGCCTGTTCGTGTAGGAGGTTAGATCCATGTTCATTGAAGAGGACGAAGGATCCACGAATTCTCCTGGAAGTCGAAGTGTCGTTCCATAAACGAGTTGAGCCGCAGTGTATCCAATGTCAGCTTTCACTGCATTGCGGATACCTAGTAAGACGAGTGGAAGAGCGTCGGTCCACTGTGAAACGTTTGCAGCTGATAGTGAAGCTTTCAGTTGTCGGTGAAAACGTTCTACCAACCCGTTTGCTTGTGGGTGGTAGGCGGTCGTTCGGAAGCGAGTGATTCCTAAAAGTGTGGTCAGACGACGGAAAAGTTCAGATTCAAACTGACGTCCGCGGTCTGTAGTGATGGTTGAAGGGCAGCCGAAGTTTGCTACCCATCGTTCGACGAATGTGCGGGCCACTGTTTCAGCAGTGATGTCCTTGATAGGTACTGCTTCTGGCCATCGAGTGAAACGGTCTACGCAGGTTAAGAGATAAGAGTATCCATTTGAATCTGGTAAAGGTCCTACCAAATCCAGATGAACATGGTCGAAACGAGCATCGGGAGTTTTAAACGAGCCTAAGGGACATTTATTGTGTCTGATAACCTTAGATTTTTGGCAGCTTACACAGGAGCGTGCCCACTCCCTCACGTCTTTATTCATGCCAGGCCAGCAAAATCGTTCTGCTATAAGCTTGATGGTTGCACGAACACCTGGATGAGAAAGTTTGTGCAATGTATTGAAGACATTGCGTCGATAATGTTTCGGCACGATTGGGCGATCCCTACCTGTAGATGTGTCACAAAGTAAGGTTTCCTTACCTGTTCCCATCTGTTTGATGCGTAGTTTAAGTGTTGTGGACGATAACTCGTGCTGAAGATCAGTGTCTTCTTTTTGAAGCTCGGCGAGTTTAAGAAGGTCGATTCCTTGGAAACTGTTCAAGGAAGTTATGCGAGATAAGGCGTCTGCAACTACATTGTTTGCTCCAGAGATGTGTTGAATATCTGAAGTAAACTGCGAAATGTAGTCCAGTTGTCGAGACTCACGGGGAGAGTACTTGTCAGAAGGAGAGCTTAACGAGAAAGTGAGCGGTTTATGGTCCGTGAAAAGAGTGAATTCACGGCCTTCGATATAGTGTTGGAAATGCCGTACAGCACAATACATAGCTAGGAGTTCCCTACCGAATGTGCTGTACCTCGATTCGGTGTCTAGCAACCTTCTAGAGAAAAATGCCAAGGGTTGCCAGGAGTTGTTAACCCATTGTTGTAAGACTCCTCCGATTGCCGAGTCGGATGCGTCTACTGCGATGCTAATGGGTGCTCGGGTGTCCTGATGTGCGAGCATTGTTGCTTTAGCAATCAGTTCCTTAACTGTGGAGAATGCTTTTCGTGCGGTGTCGTCCAAATTAATGGATTTCGCATTTCCACGAAGTTGGTCGGTCAGAGGTTTCATAAGTAATGCGCATTTGGGTATGAAACGTCTATAGAAACTTACCAGGCCGTTGAACGTGCGTAATTGCTTGACGGTGGTCGGTTCTGGGTAATCCAGAATGGCCGCCACTTTGGTTCTAAGGGGTCGGATACCTTGAGCATCGATAGTGTGTCCCAGAAAGTCTAACGAGTCGGTTCCAATTGGCATTTCTGAACGTTTACAGTTATGCCATGTTTTTGTAATCGTTCGAAAACAAGGTCCAGATGCTTGAGATGTGTTTCTCTGTCCGGACTTGCGATTAGACAGTCGTCAACATACGCGTGTACGAAGTTGAGACCTCGAAAAACGTCGTCTATGAATCTTTGGAATGTTTGAGCAGCATTCCTTAGACCGAAAGGCATTCGCAAAAATTCATAGAGTCCGAAGGGAGTTATGATAGCGGTTTTCGGTATGTCGTCAGTAGCCATAGGGATTTGGTTATACGCTTTAACCAAGTCGATTTTCGAAAAGACAGTTGTACCTTTCAAGGTAGCTGTCAAATCGTGAATGTGAGGCAACGGGTAACGATCGGGAATGGTTTTCGCGTTCAATCGCCGATAGTCACCAGTTGGACGCCAATCGTTGCTGTCCTTTTTAGGGACCATGTGCAACGGAGATGCATATGGGCTACTTGACGGTCGTATGATTCCTAAGTCCATCATGTGATCGAATTCGTTTTTCGCTAACCTTAGCTTTTCAGGAGCTAGTCGTCGTGCTTTAGAAAATACAGGTGGTCCTGTAGTCGTGATGTGATGTGTAACATTGCTGGTTACACACGGTAGTTTCGGTTGCGTTTGTTGTATCCCAGGGTACTTATCGAGTAGTGGTTGATAGAGTGGGTCTATCATATGTTTAACTGTGACTGGGGATACTCTACAACCAGTAAAAGAAGTTACGCAAACGGACAAATTAGTGTTTCCGTCTACTAGCCTCCGTTTGCGAGTGTCGATGATCAGATTGTGGTGTTGTAGAAGGTCCATACCAATGATTGGCATAGAAACATCTGCAACGACGAAAATCCAGTGGATGGGTTTGCGTAAACCCACGTTAAGGTAAACGTACCTTTTGCCATACGTAGCGATCGGTTTTCCGTTTGCCGCCTGTAAGTTTAGGGTCGATTCGTGAAGTCGGTCGTTAGGATTTGCTGGGAGAACGCTAACTTCTGCGCCAGTGTCGACGAGGTAGCGAACTCTCGTTGTCACATCTGTGACGAATAACAGACGGCTTTGTTCGCCGGCTACGGTTGCCGTTAACGCGTGCCGGCTTGGAAGTTTCCCGAATTGTTTTTCGAATCAGTCGGTTTCGTGTTGGGAAAATTGCAGGGTTTTCTGCAATTTCTGGAAAACTTTCCATACTGGTTATGATACCAGCACCAGTCGGGGTTATCTGTCTCTCGTGGTCTAGAGACAGATCGCTTACGAGAAATGCTTCTACGTGGTGTGCGCGATCTCTTACGGTCGGTACGAAGACTAAGATAACGCGTGAGTGTGTGACATAAGTCGGTTATGTCATTCTGAGTCGTGTGAGGCTTTTCTTTGACTGAAAATACCTCGGTAGTAGAAGGTTTCGTAATTTCTAGAATGCGGTCGGCAGATGCAGCTAGTTCGTCTAAGGCGTTGTTCTGGAACGAGACCAGAACTGCTTGCACCTGTTGGGGAAGTTTTGACAAGAAGAGTTGTTTGAATAGACCTTCGTCGAAAGTTCTTGGGCCTATAACCTCTCTCATCCGTTGCAACATGTCCGTCGCAGAACCGTGTTGCAGGTCGATGTTATTGAAGAGTTGATCTAACCTTTGTCGATCGGTTAGGTCTCCTCGTTTAAGAATCGAGCGTTTTAAGATTTCGTAAGGATCGGAAACATCACTAGTAAACATACTAGGTGTTACGTACCTGTTGAATTCGCGCGGTAGTGCCTTGACTACTGCGAGGAATTGTGCACGTGTGTCGATCACGCCGTGCTCGGAGAAGTCGGCTTCTGCGTAGCAAAACCAGGCTTCGATGTTGTCGGGCCAGAAAGGCATCAGTTGAAACGAAGGTGGGGACAAGGTCTTAAGCTTGAGTACTTTAGGTGTCTGTTCAGTCATGATGAAATATGAAGTACGATAATGAACGAGGGGAAAATATATATATATCCAAGAAAAAATACGAAAAAAAATCACAATGTTTAAAAAAAATAAAAATAAGGCAATGATATATAAAAATCCCAAAAAGGAACAGACTCACAGTTGCAATAAGGTGTACCAGATCACGACGGTCTCACCAATGATGATGTCACAGGTATTCAGTGTTTGACAACGCTTCTACCAGTAACACCTAATATATTTCGTTCCCACCCAGAGAAATCAAAAGACAGAGTCGAGGAGATCGGAAGAGTATATTTGGCGATGACCAATATATCGGAATTCTCTGATCTAATCTGGCTAGCGATTGCGGTTGATGTTGAGCACGGCGTTACCACACGTGATCTGGTGCGGATGCCTGACCGAGCGCCTTCAGCTAGATGAGTCCACTGAAACATATGGTCAGCATCCAATGTCGAAAACGTACAGAGCTATTTATTTTGGGAATTTATTTACCGCTACAATGTATTTCAATAAACATTTCAGATGAGACGCCACCAAGTTGCATTCAGGAATTGAAAGAGAATTTCTGGTGGACAATAAACAAACAGCACGAATATTCTAGTATAAGTAAGGGTACAAAGGATGAAGTGAGTTCCGATTTCAATAATTTATCATTTACCAATTGTTCATAATTGAAAGTATGACAGGTTATTACAATAACACGATTTACATATTGTGTTGAAGAAACTAGCGGATAATGTAAGGCGTAGTTTGAAAATTGAATTTTCTCTGTGAACATGAATTTGATTGGATGGTTCAATTAAGTCTGTGTTAATCAACAACTGGAACAATTATGAGATATGCTGAATAATAGAAAAGAGTGTAAATCAATTCTCCCGTTATCTATTCAGTTCCTAACTAGCTTACAGTCATGTAATAAAGTACGAATAACCTCTGGTGACATGTATCATTTATTTTGTCACTTTGATCGTTATGTCTGTTTGTACGCAATAGGTGATTCAAATGTTTGACGGAATGAAGCGCAAATTGACTGAATTATTCTCTCAAGGATTGTGGAGGAGTGAAGATGACAAACAAAAAGCTATTTCAACGGTTTGTTTAGTTTTGATAGTGTGAATAATAACCGATTGTATTATTCAGGTTTCCAATATGAAAGTATCAATAATGGATTCAGAATCGTTGAGTGAGGAATACAAAGGCCGAGATAAAATACTCGAAGTACGTTCCTCAAGTGTAACACTAAATATTTTATCATTGCTTAACGTAATGATCAATGACTCAGCCAAATAATTGACTGACTGTTTATGATTGAGAAAATATTATTTCTTTCTATCAATCCATTCACCATCTGACTTATGTAATTGTTTCCAACTCATGAATAGAACACAACCAGAATATTTATAGACAAGTATTACCATATTTCGAAGTGTTGAATTTGTCAAGCTAGATGGTTTGATTGCAGTGCCTTATTTATTCGTTCTGAATGGCATCTTCAGTGCTCACCCCATGCAAACGTATTAGTGTTTCTCTTGAAGGTTCCTATTGCTAACGTCTCTATTTCACGTCCTACACCCACTTCACTTAAGACAGCCTATTACGTTCGCCTTACGTTGTCTAACGTTACCGACACGAAACGTTTTTGCTATCCAAGGCGCATTGCAAACAAGCTTATTTTGCGGCTAAACAGAACGACACATAGAAGCAAAGACTACTAAACGAATAAAATGGCGTATAAATTTGACATCGCATAAGCATATAAAACTATCTTGAACCAAAACTGATGTGTCGAGCTTCGATGTGTCGAGCTTTGATGTGTCGAGTTCTTTAGAAAACATTCACAGACGTTCACAAACGCTTATAAATAATAGAATAAATATTCATAATTACTTGCACATGACTGAAGCTTATCGGAGTGATATCAATATGTGACGACAAAGCTTCATTTTCAACTGTGTCGATGAATACGTAAAGAAAAATTCAAGAAAACGTTTACACCTACATTTCAAATCTAACATTGAATGAAAACAATATTGCAACCAAAATGGTAGAGGATTTGCGCTAAAAAAGAATAACTAACATATAAACTAGTATACGTTTCCTAGCAGCTAAACTTGCTCAACATTAGGATTATGAAATTGAAATAAGAATGAATGCAGATATGGTACTATTAATCATTCGATTCTGTATCGATCATTTAGTCAACGATTGCAGTTGCGTATATCCTTCGTTACACTACGTGTTTCATTTTCTTGATTCATTATCTATTACGTCTGTAAATCGCATTTCGATTTGAGACTTTTCATAGGAAGGAAATATAGAGAGTAGAAGCAACTTCACTCGTTCTCACACATTATTCTTCTTCAGAGGTGCCATCATTCAGAGAAAATATTTCAATGTGTCTTGAGTAACCTTAACAATTACCATTACTTCTGTAACTGAATTAAGCCAGATGTACAACAATAGAAATGAAAGTCTTCCATCAAGCTATTCTACTTATTATACCTCAAATCTCCGAACATATGTAGATTGATCTTCAAAAGATTGAATTGTTTATGGTTTACACAGTTGTTTGCCTCATGTTTGTCCAGTGTATGTTATACTGTCACCAACAGAATGTAGATTATTGTGAAATATAAAAAACGCATTAACCATTTTGAAATGGACTATCATTTAGTATGCATCGTTTTCCGCATAGTTCATATCTGATGCCAGTTTTGTTTTAATTGATCTTCCAAGCAAAAGTGATCCATCATATCAGTCAGTCTGTCGTTGTTATTTTATGTACCTTCCATGGAATTGCAATGAAATGACTTCCGCATTTAAATAAATGAAAGTTGATATGTTGAAACATCTGTACGATTACGATTTCTTTCATTTAGTAAATCAGTAACTTTGAAGGTAATAAAGAAATCATTTTATTTCAGTTTCAGAATAAACTTTCTGCAGATAACTATCTTATAAATGCATACTACTCGATGAAAGCTAAATTTCTAACATCATTGAAGGCCACTTCGCGCAGATACGAATTGTGAGTTGTTCTTTGTTACTATGGCTTTTTAATCACTACTGACTCTCATGTAAAATAAACTCTTTGTTCATAGAACAAACACTATTTATGGCATCGTGATTCACAACTGGTTATGTTTCAAATAGTGATTTTATGAATGATGGTAAAATGGGTGAAATCGCTCAATTTAGAAGAAAACGAAACGTGTTTGTCAGTATTTCAGTGTAATGTAGTTGCATAGCATTTAGGGAGCAAACTTCATACGGTACAATCTACTTTGATCTAATGTAATCAAATAAGGCAAATTTACAACGATTCAATGAAAGTGTAAACACATTTAATTAGGCGATCAAATATGATCACGTGCGTTTATTGATACTATTAGATGGGATTCAATAAGTTGTTATTCTAAAATAATTGACAAATTCTCGTTTCATACACCCTAATTCAATTTACCAATGTACATTTACCTTGCAAAATAAGTATGTCAACAGGATCGAAACATAAGGCACCAGTTTTTATACTATTCATCCAACATTACTTCTCCTGCACACCACATATAAGTAGATTATGACTACTGTGTTGATTTCTGGGACTTAAGTCTTTCGATACATAATCACTACTGCATGTGTAGTTTTACTGGTCCTATCCACACATCCTCAAAGCTGAACATGAGATAACTGGGAAGATGGATATTCAACATTGAACACGATGAGAAGGCCAATAACAGTGAACGGGGGAATACTCACTCAATTTGATGGCATGGCTCAGCATTGCTGACGTGATCGTTCTATATAACTTATCTTTATTCGCATTAAATATATTATCCTCTCTTCAGCTCAGACGTGTTCTTCAAAAATGCCAAGTATCATATTGCTAATTGTTACGACACGATGATTGAGTATAGATAATGACTTGACTTCCACGTAAGATCTTATAGATTAGGCAGTCACATCATGACATACGTAAAATGTTAGGACTAAGTCTGTTATCATAGCAGTGCTAATAACGATCTCTGAAATATTATCATACATATTATCTCATTTTGTGTCGTACTTTGGATGCATCTATCATCATGAGGACGGTTGATCTCAAATAGTTGCATTCGGTTACGCAAATTGAATCCCATTCCTTGAAATAGGATATTCACTGTACAACATATCATTAATAAATAGACTTACACAAAATTATTATTGACAGGTTCATTCATCCACTCATTTTTCACGATTTATTAGTTCATTGATCTCTCTGAATAAATTAATGTTCGTTGTTTGTTTATAAATATTTAGACCTGGTTTCTTCACTTTCCAACCGCACATATTTGACAAAAATCTTACCGTGGTTATGACATCCGGATTATTACATCCACCGTTTCTAAATACATCACAAATAATGCCGGAAAAGTATGGAATTCTTGGTTGGCTTCTCGGTCGTCAGATTATGTCTGCAGGTAGGTTTCAAGATATCACTCCATGTCCGTGAACCACAATGGTATCACAATCAGGTATTAGGAATTGGTCACTAACAATTGAGAAATGTGCGTGTATGTGAACTGTTTATGTGAATCTACGAAATCTCTATGAACTGAGACCAATGGTGCTTATAGTAGATGTTTTAGCGCAATTTCGATACTGACGGTAATGTGGTTTTTCTGAATTACTCATCCGGATGCAAACAGTATGAATGAAGATGTGCCATCCACATGCAATCTATCACAATTCACAAGATAGTGGTTCGGTTAAGTTATTCAACCGAATTCAAGCAGTATTAACAATGAATAATTGTTATTTAAACTTGTATTATTAGATGAGACGGCATCTGATTTCTGTGCAAATTGAAACTTTTTATTCCGAATATTCCTCATATTGATGGAGAACTATTCTCACATGAATGTGGCAAGTGGAATCTGAGTGTAGTTATTCTGATTTGATATATAAGTGATTGTATCTGCAATAAGATGGACAGTAATATATTAGTAACGAAAGTTATTATCGTCAGGCATAAATATACTATTTTAGGTCATCAAGAGTTAACATGTTAAGAGGAATGGTTTTCATTGCGATGTTGTCTTGTTAGCTGTAATATATGGAATTCTATTCACACTTGACATAGAAACCTCGATATCACTCATCCTATTTCCAATTCACGTTATATATACATGTATTTGATTCTCGAAAACCCAGTGCAATAAACGGATATTTACATTACAGTTTTCAGAAATGAACACGTACAAAATCAATCAGAATATCAGTCAAAGTGTTCACCAATGCTTCTACACCGTTAAGAACTCAACTGTGTTGTTTATCAGAACAAATCAACTCTGAAAGACTTCAGAAAGAAGTAAGAAAAATTTAAACGGCTTTTAATCCAAGAATTTTTCGAATCTTCACACAGTTTTCGGCATTTCAATTTCGAAATGATTTTTAAGGTATCCATACTGAAAGATGACTGGTATATATGGAAGGTGTAATTCATTCAAATTGTAATGAATATTATGATAATAAAATACAGAAATATAATACACTTGTCATCTGTACATAGTTTCCGAATGATAAGTTGATCAGTCTTTCAGTAAAATAGAAAAATAGTTAAAAGCAGATGTGAATATTAATATCGATAACTTGCTAGAAATATCAAGTTAAGGAAAACTGTAGAATTGTATTCATCCAATATGTGAGTTCAGGTGAAATGTCAACCCAAAACCAAATTATTTGACAGTTTATCGTGTCTATTTTCTCACTGTTGCCTTTGTCGAGTTTCTTGGGATTATTGTCAATAATATTAAAAACTTCAATTAACAAAACGTCTTACAAAATGACCTTTTCTTCACAATCGGAAGTTATAACGATCTAGTATAGTGTCATGTTGTTACTTCAGGGAAGACAAGTACTACGACTTAATCTTATATGAGGATCCACAAAACTTGATAATTTTGACTCGTTCAATTTGTCAAGCTAACATAGTTGAAATCACTTAACTTTGTTGTGCTTAAATGTTCCAACAAATGCAGTGAATCACATATATGAGCAGTTGTTAGTGTAATAGTCATCTAATAATCAGTTGTCACATACTGCGCAAAGATATTCAATATCTTCTCTGAAATATAACTAGAATAATGGACGTGATTAATTGAAACCTTCCGACATTGCCAGAACTGTCGACAACTGATCAATCTCATAAGTCGCCACGTTGTATTTCAATCTACATACAGGCACCTAAGAATTCAACTTCTTTGAGCGTTTTTCATGCCTAATCGTTACATCTTACTTGTCAACGAGACCATATAAGTTGAACTTAAAAACGTGATGTATATGTGACAGACGTTATATAAATTTATGTGATCTCAACTATTTTCATACTCACTAGAATTTGGAACAATTGTCAGCTGGTATAAATGGTCTTATGTTATCGTTCGAAGTAAGTGAATTTGAATAACACAGTATTCATTTTATTCCTCAATCGCTAATATTGACAATTAACACATGCATTCTGTATACGCTCTCTAGATTCAGAGTAAACGAACTCATTGCTTGGATTTAAATTTCATTGAATAATTTTCGAATGCAATATACAGTTGACCACGCTCGCATTTCACAATAAAGTGGTGAATAAATAGATGATATTTCGCTAGTGTTTGATTAGCTGTCTAATACGACGAAATAATGATATATTTATGATATTCAGGAGAGCGAAACATAAGATATTTGACTTTCCGAGATTTATTTTAGGTCGGTTCTCCAGTGTAGATAAGCAAAACTAGTCGATGTCTGGGACATGACTAGTCAGAGCAATTTGTAGATGGTGAAGATAGGATCTGTCATAGACGTATTGAGAGAATGACGAAGCTGTCCGATGTCAGAGAGATGCAGGAAAAGGCGACAATCATAGGGACACTACTGGGGAGCAGGTCGTGGGTGACGCTTCATAGAGTGACTCTTGTGAACAAGATAGCACCTTGGAATGTCCTCGATACGAATAGGCATGAAACATGATGTCAGATTCTTTGAGTGTAGAAACGTCGTAATTTATAAATGACGGAAACGAAACTTGTTTAAACGTTACCACATGCCTTTTGTTCTTCGAAAGGAGCTTATGGTCTAACGTTCAGCGCCATGAAGTAAAAGCACAAGGGCGATAAAACACTCGAAAACCAGACTCGAAGAAAGTTCTAGCTGCAGAAGGCACGAAAAGATTCAAATGGGTGACCAAAGTGTATAGATACTTATTAACTAAACACAGAAAGCTCTCTCGTCAACATTCGTCTACCCAATGCCTTGTTCAACAGCAGGATAATTTTCAATATATAATATTCTTTATTGTTAATTTACCCACATTTATTTCAGACATACAAGAGAAGTTTAACTGGAACACGTGAAAGCTTAAATGAAATGAAGTTGTTTTTCTCAGCATTTGCGAAAGTAAGTTAAGCACACTGTTCAAAATTCATTTGAACAAAATCTCACTTTCCAACGATTCATGCTAAATGTGGTGAGCTGTAGTCAATATTGAGCTTAGTAGTGGCACATTTTATAGGTCAGAATACAAGTAGATATAATCTAATTGGTATACATATTTCATTTAAACACTTCATTGACTGTTGAGAATGGGGTCAATGTGAGTTTGTAGTCAAAAGAAGTACACCATGAAGCTGTTCACTTTTGGCGTATGGTGAATTTAAACAGTGAGATAAGTAATCATTATGTTCAATTTGCATGATGTTACTAGAACTTGGAACCATTAAAAATCAAATATGTACTATTGTAATCTAGACCTATGGGCTCAGATCAATAGATAAACAGTAGAAAACGATACTGATTAATGTTGATTTGTACGACGAAAGAAATGGAATGTGGGTAACAATGGAAAAGAAGACGCGCGCATCGTTTTATCTGCAGCTCGTTAGCCGGATGTACTTGCACAGGAAGTACATATGCCAACCAAGACTGACCAAATTATCGTTAAAATATCAACAACAAGGAGATCCAAATCATTTCAACTTGATTTGTACGTCCTTTTTTCGATCAATACACGAACTCACATCATAGAAATTAGGGTAGCAACACATTTGTCCTAACTCTGTTCCCACTGTTTAAAATATCTATGAAAATCTTCAGAAGTCAGATTTCTCAGTTCTCTTATCAGTTCATATAGTATTCACAGCGCCAAATACTTTGCTAAAGTAGTATGAACGTGTGATTTAAAAAACGTATTTATCATCTAAATAGTGCATCAAGGGAATCAGTAAGAAGAGGGGATCATTTATATTTATTATTAATAATGGGGGAGATGAGTGGATTTCTGCGACATGTGTTGCACAGATAATTTCTCATAAACTCATCCCATAAGGCTCTAAACACGATGAAGAGCGGAAACAAATCAGATTTAGGTTAACCAAAAGTCTAAGCAACGATCGTGAGCAGTGGTGGGCAACGAAAGCAAAAAAGATGGAAAAAGCATCCGCTGTAGGTAACACAAGAAAGCTTTTCAGACTGATAAAAGAAACCGGAACTAAGAAGTCAAGTGTAAGTGAGATTATATCGGAAAAAGATGACTCTTATCTACTCTCAGTTCAGACGTTTAGAACGGTGAGCGGAACACTTCAAGGAGCAGTTCAGCTGGCCTTTAGCTACTCTACAACTACCCACCATTCCCAGACAGCGTGAATGGAACACTAAAACAGGCCCAAATTCTTAATGAAGTTCAGGAAGCTATAGCTAATCTGAAACGAGGAAAAGAAGCTGGTCAAGATGGATTAACTCCAAAGGTCTTTATGTATGGTAATCGACTTTTAGCGATTAGGTTTAGTATTTTAGATAAAACCTGGGAACTGAATGTAATCCCATCTGACTGGTCGCAATCACTGATCATCCCAATATATAAGGAAAGATCAAAACAATCCTGTAACTAGCGTCAATGATTATCGAGAACCTAACAAAGACTCGTAAACTGCAAACACAAGAAAAACAAGTGGAACGTCGTAAGGAGATGCAGTCCCATGGTAGCCGGTGACCAACGATTGGTTCACACGCCATTTGTTCCCGCAGGATACTGGAGCCCATGTACACTATTGGTTTGGGATCCAGTTAAAGCGCCGGACATTCGCTTTTCGTCCTCTCATTTTCGTAAACAACACCGCCGCCACGAGAAGGCAATGAGTAGGACTTCCGTGGCAGAGGCTGTATACGCGTGGCCGTGTGAGAGTATTTCGAGAGGGAGAGCGGACTCTCCCCACTCTCGACCGTACCAGGGCATTTGGGGATATATATATATATATATATATATACATATATATATATATATATATATATATATATATATATATGAAGTTAATCAAAACAACGTGCTATGGAAATATCAGTTGTCTTATATGAAAAAATGATATATTTCTATACGAAATGACAGTAATCATTAGATATGAGCTTCGTACATGACCTTATGAAACTAAGACCTGATTTTTAGACTTACTTATCGAAACCGTATAAATATATTATGAATCGAAATATATAGCCAGTGTCTGAGAGTGGAAAATATATTAGTTGAAGTTAGACACTAACACCGTTGGATGACAGCCGGCTCAGTGGTCTAGTGATTAGGCGCTTGCGCGCGAGACCGATAGGTCCTGGGTTCAAATCTCCCGGGGCGGGATCGTGGATGCGAACTGCTGAGGAGTCCCACAATAGGACGAAACGACCGTCCAGTGCGTCCAGGTTCTCCATGATGGTCTAGCTTCAATTAATTCATGATCTCAGCTATTGAAATTACTGTAATATCTACAAAAAAATTCTTCAAATATTACTATGTTTGGTGTTCAGACGTTGATTAAAGTCTTTTTAGATTGAAAACATTAACGTAAACGTCAGGTGATACAAGAATATATATATTAGTGTTGTATATTTTTATGGTAATATTTAGTCACTTGGAAATAATAACCATAACAGATTTTTCAATGCATAGAATTAAACAATTAATTAGGAATTCTGTTTATTGTTAGTCAGTCTTCAACAAATAACTCATATGGAATAGATATATGGAGAAAGCTGGACTTACCCAAGTATATTAAAGTTAAGATTCATGATGTTTAACTTAAAATTTAAAAAAATAGAGAAACGAATAAGTGAAACACTTACAATTCCATATTAATCGGTTCAAATGTTTCTTGTAATTGACTTAAACTACAACATTCTTGAACAATCAGATCAGGTTTTAATAAATCTGCATTATTTTGATATACAACTTGTGACAAAGTATCTTCTAAAGCTAAAAATGTATTTGTGAAATCAGCACCAGTCATTTCCATTGTATTAAATAAATTTTGAATAAGTTCTGTATCTATTTCATCCTTGGCATAAAGTAAACCTAACTAGGGAATGAATATAATAAAGATAACACATTCATAGATCAAATCATTCAATTTTACATTAGCAATTATTAATATCAAGGTTTAACTTGATAATTTCAAGTAAATTGAACATGGAATATACGGTTCATAATAAAAATTAATGATAAATTTGCAAAATGTTAATGAATAATTTGAATTTCTACGGTTTCGTGACCTAGTGTGAGTCAATCCTTCAAAGTAAATGAACCAAATTAAATTAATTTAACAGTTGAATTCATGAGTCAATTTGAGTTAGACCACCATGCGAGCACTGGATGGCCGTTTCTTCATAGTATAGAACTACTCAGCCGTGACCAGTGGAATTCAACCAAGTCTGGTGTGAGGTAGTAACTCACTGAAGACAATGGTGGCGCAACTTCGAGGATTGGTTGGAGTTAGACATTAACACCGTTGGAGGACAGCCGGCTCAGTGATCTAGAAGTTACGTGTGTGCGCGCGAGACCGACAGGTCCTGGGTCCGAATCTCGCTAGGCGGAATCGTGGATGATCGCTGCTGATAGCAACCGATAGTTAGAGAACTTCAGTGACATGGCTCAAAAACGTTTGTAATGGCGCAGGTGCATCCACTCTTTATGTCCTCCCAAATTCTAATCTTCTGATTTCTTCATGTCCCTTTCTTTTTTCTCTTTCTAAATTTATTCCACTGGATTATACTCCTTGAACATCTTTAAACCCTAATGTTTCCGATTACTGATTATACTATTACTACCTCTACCACTGTGTGATTCGAATCGACAACTGCATCTCTGTGCTAATGTGGTATGGCAACTCGGACTGATTTACGTACGTACGAAGTTCTATGTTGTCACTGACTGACTGCTGAGGAGTCCCATACTAGGACGAAAAGGTCATCTAGTGCTTCCAGGTTTTCGGTGGTAGTCTAGGTTCAATTGACTCGTGAATCCAACTATTAAACTACTATAATATCTGCAAAACTACTCTCTGATTAAAAATAACACAGATTTAAAAAGAATATAGGAACAAGGTAGAATATTTACTTCAATCTAAAATCACAGAATTATTAGGTCTTTTTTGTTTAGCCAAGGAATATTTAGGCTACACGGAAAGGCCTAATGATCCTGTATATTTTGATTGAAATAAATATTCTACCATTTTTGTTGTGACTTTATGTCCGGCTTTTTATCACGCGATTCATCCACCAATCAAAATACGACTTATACAATCTTATCACCGTGCCAAACCAATGACGTTCGACCGGTATGAGCAGCCTAGCGTCCTTATTGGTCCTACGTCCGTCTAGCCCGTCCACTTGAGTCCGGAACACCAATACCAGATCCCACTATGAGAATCGAATCGAATAATTTATTTCAGACATACTGGGTTTATATATCAATCAAACAGGCCGCAACGCACCACAAAATAGGAAATAACATTTGTACACAATAAAGCCAAAAAGTGGCTGTGAACGTGGGAGGCAGTAGTCAATAAACTGAACATACAATAATAATATATACGTCAAAATAAAGCTTATAATAAGAGGAATATAAATATACACAATTCAATTATTGAATAGTAACGTAGTGAACAGAACACCAGTGGGGACAATCGAATGTATTCAACACAAAATTACAGGACTTGTTCATAAAATCTAACAATCATAAAGTAAATGCTTAATTTGCAAAGTATCCACCAATTGTCTCAAAATGACTCAGACTTCATTGTTCTTGCATTTTCATACAAATTGCATCCTGTTTCCATTGTTTACTGTTCGATCCTCTTGTCTCTCTGCTGCCAGACCTGTTCACGACTAACATCATATACTACTTATGTTAATGTAAGTAGCACACACCACAGTAATACTATAAGAATGTATAGATAACATTAGTCAATTAATATGTCTCAGAAGTTACTCGTGATTTAATCTTCGCTCAGATATAACAATTTTCACAAGTATCTTTATTTTATTAGTACTTTCACGTTAGTTTACTTTTGTGTAATTATGTTCATTAAATAATCTATGGAAAGTAATCTCTGATTGTTTTTAGTAAACTAAAATTAGCTTGGCCATATATCAGCCATGGAGATCTATAGATTGATCCTTGGTTGAGTTCTGGTTGTATGTTAATGAAAAATATCAAAGAGTTGTCAAGTTCTATTTACTTTTCAATTTATTTACCAGCTACATTGTACTGTTTATAGTGTATTTTAAAATTACAAAGACTTTTAGCTTAGATGGATGCTTTACTCGAATCTATGATTTTAGAATTGCATGTCATAAGTGCAGAGATTTGATGACTATACTATAAAATATCATTAACAACATCGAAACTACATCAGGTTTTACAAATTCATGTATGTTGGATTTGTCCACTAATTTCAGGTCCACTTGTAGCTAATTCATTATTTTCTCGAACTTTGATTGCCTTTGATTACATAACTTATATAAATGTTTTTAGATGGTTTAAAACCTAAAACAAATTGATTGCAAAAATATTCTGGAAGAACTTTAAAAGCCTGAGATTTTGTTTCATCGGTAACGACAAATATGGATATATAGGCTCACTTATTCATTTGGTAAATAACTTGGTAATTTTGTTTTAAGAATTTGAATTTCTTGTTTTTGCGCGAAAGGTGCTCATTTTCACCTTCATGTCGTATTTCCCACTTGGGAGAATCTTAAACGCTAATGGTTCGTCGTATCTTTTAGTATGATATTTTGTAACGCTTCCCAACGACAATTTGGTGCTGTATATATACGTTGGATTGTGCCTGTTGTTTTTATCTCGTGCTTCTGTCTGTTGGCGGAATATATTTCCCCACTTCAGCTTGGACTTCTCTCTCTAGTTAGCGGAACGCGTCAGAACAGCTAGCTTATTGGTCTTTGGTCAGAGAGTCTTTGTTCAGTCTAGGTGAACTCGTAATCGCTTCAAATAGTAAATGAGGAAAGCTAGTCCACGGAAGGAATATCGGAATCGATAGGACAAACTGAATCTGGTACACGAAGAGATTCTAAATTCTTAATATTCAGAAATTGTAATCGATTTCTTATAAAATTCAGGATATAGACTATAGTTTACAGTAAAAACGTACAACTATTAAACCATTATGTGGTCATTCAGCTCAAATCAATTCACTACCTAACTTTCTTTAAATTCTGAGCTTTGAAATCACTGTAAACCTTCTATTCTACGAACTTATTCTTTCTTCTCGAATCATGCATATACATATATATAACTGCTTATCAACTGACCTTTTTACGCATTCTTTCCAAATAGACACTTTTAAAACAAGACATATATGTAGTGTCCAAAACATTAGTGAATTTTTTTGTAAGATTATCAACAAATATGCATTCTTTATTCGTTGTTTTATCAGATGAACATTTCTGCTGATCAATTAATGCTTGAATTAAACATTCAGCTAGACGAGCTAAATTCCATGCACAAACACTTGGTTGTTGAGCATATGAATAACGTCCATTTGGATCCGATGTATTCGATATATGATCCCAAGTGAACTGATCAATAAAACCAAATGGTCCATAATCAATTGTTAAGCCAATAATACTCATATTATCTGTATTTAATACACTGGTATTTTACGGGAAAAAAACAACAAATAAATTGAAAGGTAATTTCCTATGAATAGAGTAAGAGTGATGAGTTGAAAAAAAAACAATTGAAAATCAGCAACTGATGGTTGTTTAATTGAACACATAGATATTGGTACAAGGAGGCATTAAATACATATGGGCCACACAGATCTCATTTGATATGTGTGAGGGCTGTGATACTGCCCAGGTTCCCAAACCGAAACAGGTAGTAACTGATAGACAGTAACTTAGTTTTAGTTAGGAACTTGTCAACAGTATGAGCATATACACCACTATACGGAAATGTGGACTATTTAATCCCATCAAAATGGTTTGTATGTAACGTGACCTCCAAACCTGATGATACCAGATTAAGTTCTGTATATAATCCTGGGGGGTGCACTGATGAAGAGTTAAAATTGAAGGCGGAATGACTATCTAGTACATCACCCTATTTCAAAGATTTTCAAGTTGATATCAATCTAAGATGAAAACTAAAATTGCTTTTCTTGAGCTGAATATTTTAATGTGAATCCTTCAGTGTCTTTACAGAAAATATCAGCACAAAATTCAAAAGAAATGGGGCATGAAAATTTCTTTAGAAATGACTAACAGCTGATTTGATTAGTTGTTGCCGAAAGGTTCCCTGCCATGGTCTGAACATTTATTTTCACTGTAAAGCATTGCTTCATCGTTTTTTACCAATGATCAACTAAGTAAACTGTTTGTGTGAATGTACACACTCATGCCTTGGCTATTCAGACTATTTTTGATCTCGTCCAGTGTTTGGAACTTTTATTATGGAGTCCAAAAAAAGTTGAAGTTTTTTGGTGTCAAAGAGAATTGGTTCTACCTGTGTTGTAACAAAGATTATTTCAGTATTGAATTTGTCCAGTTTGGCTATAGATACTGTTTCGCCCATTTTTACACAGAGTTCATTTTGAATGTGTTCCTGAACTTTATTGTGCAGTCTGACATTTACATGATAGTCGTGGTATTTCTTTTATATGTTCATGTAATGGTAGGTGTTTTGTCTTTATGCAACTGCTTTATTGCGTATAGTTGATTGTTAGTTAATTTGATAATAACAAGCTTTTGGTGTAATTACGTTGGTGAAAATTTATCCCTTACATCATTTGCTTCTTCGTTTCAAAGGTATTTTACAGTAAGTTCAGTAGAAAGGTGACAATAGTGATCTTTTCATGTAAAAATTAAGAGCTTTTCTAGTTAGAAACAGTTTATGCTCGTATAGGCTTCTATATGACAGCTTCACGACTACTTAACATTAAGGTTTGGTTAGAAGTCTTCATCCTGATAAAAATTACAGTTTTACGTGCACTGAGTTTTTTAAGGTTCATCGTGTTACTTTCTTGAAACTTAATGATGAAACTGTTTTACGTACTTCAGAGAGATCGTTAAACCGTTAAATCCTTTGGTGCAATTAAAGAAAAAAGCCCTTTCAATATTTCGTTAGAACCATGAGCCAATGTGGCTCCAATGAAATAGCCCTTTTAGGGTAACTGCCGGTCTCAAGCCTGAATAAATGGGGAGGGTTGGTGATGCATTCAGCGATCCGATTCCGCAGAAACCAATCTTGCTAATAAAAACACTAACATGAAAGAACCCATTTGGGCTATACAACCTTTGAAAACCAAAAAGAACTGCACAGTTTCGTTCCAACTAAGGGACTCCCCAGCAGTATGCATCAACGACCTTGCAACCTGGAATTAAACCCAAGAACTTGGACCTTGTTCGCGAAAGCTTAACCTCTAAATCATTGAGTCGGCATCTGATGGTGTACAATTCTAACTTTAATCAATTAAGAAAGATCGTTCCAGTGAATAGTTCTCTTTTCAGAGAATTTGTTTTAAAAGCTGTACAAATGCAAATATATATACTTCTTTTTCGACCCCAAATGCCCTGGTACGGCCGAGAGTGGGGAGAGTCAACTCTCACTCTCGAAATGCTCTCACATGGATACGTGTATATAGCCTATGCCAGGGAAGTCTTACTCACTGCCTTCTCGTGGCGGCGGTGTTGTTCGCGAGGCTTAGAGTACGGAAAGCGAATAACTGGCGCTTTAACCAGGTTGGTGGACACGGAGAATTCACCTAGGGGAGTTGGAAAACCCTGATTCCAAACCAATGGTGCACATGGGCTCCAGTATCCTGAAGGAAAAAATGACGTATGAATCAATCGTTGGTCACCGGCTACCATGGGACTGCATCTCCTTACGATGCTCCACTGTCTTGTGGATCAGACCTCTAGGTCGAAGGCTTCGGGTGTGGCCCCCTAACAAAACCACCTGCAGTATCACAGCCCTCACACAAATCAAATGATATTTGTGTAGTGCATCTGTATCTGGTGCCCCCTTGTACCAATATCTATATGTTCAAATAAATAAATAAATAAATACTTATTTTCCAGAATGATAAAAATTACATTAATAACGATGATAGTGATAATAAAATTCTGCTAAAAACGGTTGAATAAACAAAGGTATTAAAACATTATTCTTATCAGGCAAACTAATAATAGTTTTATTGTTCAGGGGTTGAATATTCATCATGAAGACAGGTAGGGAAAGCAGATGACTGTGAAAGTAGAAAAGTATGAAGAAGCAAGAAAATTACGGCATTAAGACCATGGTAGAAGTTTTATCAGTTTCTTTTGGAAACATAATTTCAATTTTTCAAGATGTATAGCTGTTGCATCAGCAATACTATGAAAATGCATTATAACTGTCTTTGGCAGTCTTCTACTTGCTCTGCAAATGGCTTCGAACTTCGAGTCCGCTTTAATTGAGTGACCTATGTTCACAAGGTGTTCGATTATTGAGCGTCTTATTGAGCCGCTTCCGCCTCTTTTTAGCCACTACGGGTAATGTTCTTGAGTTCTTTCGGATAAAGCACGCATCGAACGACCTATAATATCAGGCTCCACATGAGCAAGTAAGTTGGTAAATGAACATAGAACTGGTCAGATGAGATAATTTATCCTTAAGATTATTGATGAACATTGGTTGGCTGGATAAAACTATTCAGAAAGTTGCTGCAAAGAACGTTCTTTTTAGAGGACATCTGTAACTCTTTTACCCTTACGGGTCAATGTTCATGTGAAGTGTTTCTTTTTTGATCGAGGTTATTTGTGTTTTATATTCTTGTCAATAAATATCACAAAATATCCATTTATGATAAGTATTTTCTTCAAGATGCTCAGTTACTTATCTATGACCTCGGGACTACAAATTCTTCGTATTTGCGTGGAGATTAATATAATTAACTTTCACTTTCGACCAATGGGGATCCAGCTGTGGAAACATGATAGTTGGCCATTCCACATGGGTTTCTCGTAGATAGATCTTCTTAGAGTGTCGTCGCGTTTTATTGCCAATTTCACATTAAGAAAGCGAATACCTTGTTGCTTTCAACTTTATTCACTGCTGAATGGCAGCTATAAAATATCTTCAGAAGATCATATTTATTGTCACAAATGATGAAAATACCATCCACGTACCTGTTATACAAATGGAAGTTATCAATACTCCTTTCAAGTTAGTTGTTACCTAAACTGATCATGAAGCAATCTGCTAGTAATAGACAGAGAGGAGATATCATTGCAATATCATCCTTTTGTCTATGAATAACGTTGTTGAATGTAGGTTGTACATTACGAGTGCATCGTAATAGTTCCTTCAGATAAGCTTCCGATATTCCAATATTCATCTCATTATTATTTATGTACTTGCAGATAAAAAGAGTGGTCTCTGTGAATGGAACACTAGTGAATAGTGATTCGACACCGAAAGAGAGAGAGTACAAGTTTATTATTTACATTCACTTGTTTCATTTATTCTACGAATTCAAAAGTATCGTGTAAGGAGTGTATATAATTACGTTTTCTTACGGGTTTTACGACATATGCCAGCCACTTTGCTATAGAGTAATAAGGAGATCCGGACATATCAAGAATTGGTCGGACAGGTAGGCCAAATTTGCGTATTCTAGGCAAACTATATGGTCGTGGTATTATCGATCCTGTTCGTTTTATGAACTCATAGAGATCTTCGTTCATTGACTGATCATTTTTCATCCTCTTAGTAACTTCAATCAGTTACTTTCCCATCATTTCAGTCTTGTTCTTTTCATTGATTCGTTTAGAGAACTTTTGTCGACACAGATCAATCCACGATATTGGGTGACTATCTTCCATTGTCTTGGTTTAGATTTCCTCCTCACGTCAGACACGGTTTAGTTCCATTGGTTACGGAGTCTCACAAAATGGTCATCCAGTAATTTCAGGTCTTCAATAGTGTACAAATTTATATCAGTTCGTGATTTCAGTGAAATCCAAGAATTTCCACAATTTCATACTGGCAATTATCAATACTATTAGTTCATGAATGTTATTAATACAAATTTATAGTGGCTCTAATACATAACATTCCCTTAGAAATATTCTTGTAACAGAGTAGACAGAATTGTCTAGAAATTTGACAATTACAGCTACCAAGTAGACAGATAAGTTTAAACAACATAACTGAGACATTCAGTGAAGTGTACTAGTTTCTAAGTAAATTTAAATAGATTGCAAATTATCTACATGAATGTTTGCCAAGATTTTTATGAATAATTTCATAAAATCTCTAAAAATACAAGGAAACACTATGTGTTAGGTGTTATTATCAACAAAGGAGGTCAATCATCCACTTAGCTTTGTATAATCGTTCCCACAATCTTTTCATAGACCTCGACGAAACTCAACTAAGAAGAGGCTACTTTCATTTATCTTATTGTAATTGTAAACAATCCTTAACATTTTGTAAATTATCTGAGAATTTTCCGTAAGTTTAACCCGTAACTTGAAGTAGTCATAGTTCGTATACATGTATTGAATACACATCTTTATCTTTAGCTACAAACATTCTTTGTGATCATATAACATTAGTCAAATTATAGATAGATGAACAATTTAAAAGTAGTATAATTATTCAGAATAGAAATTATTATTGTGTTTTTACATTTTAATCTTACCCATGACAAAATCCAACAGTTTGCCAAAGAGCGACTAGGTTAGCTGTACGTTTCACTACTTCTTTAAAGAATTCCACATAACAATTAATAATATCATTTGAATATCCTGACCAAATCTTAATTGACGAATGTTTTAAACAATAGGCAATTCAAAACAAAACAAGGATAAAATAAAGACTTTATCCACTTTAAGGTGAAACAATTAAAAAAGTTATTCTAACGGATAATTTATAGTTTCTTGTTCTATTTAGATACATAGAATCACTGAAAACTGGGAAACAGCAGATATCAGTATGAGAGTTGAATAGAAATTAATGGATCTTATAGTATATATTACGGATTGAACTTAGTTAGACAATCACTGAAAATTATGAAACATTGGATAGCTTACTTTGACCTAGTATAAGGATTTTTAAAAAATGCGCATCCACAACCACATCCGGGACCAAATCTCAAACCATTATGCCTTGTGGCAAGTGATAAACCTTCATACCACAGAGTTAGCATTCAACATGGATCAAATCAACTGTGAAACCATCACACAATGACATTTGTAGGCAAGCTCTCATGCAATTAATGGTTTTGAACTCCACTGATATTGGTTTCTTATCAGCACTCCGGAAATTACCTCTCGAAATTAATTTCCAGTGGGCACACTGATTAGGTTCAAAAGCTAGGAATGCAAACTGCTGGATGCCGACCTAGGGGTTAGGAGATTAATGTCACACCATAAAGTCTGAGGGTCCTCGATTCCGTCCTTGGTGAAGTCATGGATGAGCACTGTGGAAGTCAGCCATTCATAAGTAACGTAGAACACGGCCCATACGTCTATCGGTTCAAACTAATAAAACAAATTAGTACAATGAAATGAAATTTTCGAGACAGATCCCAGATTAATAGAGGTGGTAACAGTATAAGTGGTGATAAAGAAGAATAGGGGTGGGAGGTACGAATCAAGAAAAAAATATGGATTCTTCGGATAAAAAAGCCTTTTAAGATAATTTTCAGACTTGAGACCAAAAGGAAAACACAGTGAATGCACCCGCACCATCGAGGACGATCCTCGGCCCTAATTCTCTAAACACTGATTACGATAGTCACGCGGACTCCAACCAGGTAGTCCGCATCTACCAACAAGGTTCAGTGCAATGGCCAACGACTTCGTGGCTTGATGCCACATTCCAGTTTGGTCACTTTCAACTTCCTTCCTTCCAACCTACTCCTATGCCAGTCATGATCGCGCCACAAGGTATGTAGTACATGGGCACACGCAATACATTTCCCAACCACTTTGGTTGATGAAGATTCACTACCTTATCAACCGATCTGCTATCCGTAATGCTGAGGAGTCCCATATCAGGTTTTTGCTGGTCTTTGATTGTTGTGTAACTAATGTCAGTTTGTGATGCAAATTATGAAATATTCGGTAGCCGTTGTGTCCTAGTAAGTTCTCAAGACTTAATAAAGACTACTCAGTCAGTCAGTAACAACGTAGAACTTCGTACGTACGTACATCAGTTCGAGTTGCCACACCACATTAGCACAGAGATGCAGTTGTCGATTCAAATCCCGTAGTGGTAGAGGTAGCAAGAGTATAAGCAGTAATCGGGAAGATTAGGGTTTGGAGATGTTATTTAAAGAGTATAATACAGTGAAATAAATTTGGAAAGAGGAAAAAAGGGACATGAAGAATTCAGAAGATTAGAATTTGGGAGAACACAGAGAGTGGATGCACCTGCGCCATTGCAAACGATTTTGAGCCATGTCATTCAGGGTCTCTAACCATCGGTTGCTATCATCTCGCGGTCCCCAACCAGGTAGTCTACACCTACCAACATGACTCAGTTCACTTGTCAGTGACTTCATGGACTTGTGCCATGTTTTGGTTTGGCCGCCCCTAGCTTTCTTCCAACCTACTCCTATACCACTGAACATAGCACGTCGAGGCAGTCGGTCGTTGGGCATACGTAACACGTGTCCCAGCCATCTCAACTGATGAAGTTTCACTACTTCATCAATTGATTTGCCATCCTTACCTAGTACCCGTTTCCTAACAACTATGTTACTTACTCGATGGTCCCATGATATACGATTATGTAACCTACGAATATCCTCTACTCTTACCGGCCATGTTTCACTGCCATAAAGTAGGACGGAACGAACTGCTGCGCAGTAAACACGTCCTTTGATTGATAGACGGATATCTCGCCTACGCCATAAATGACGCAAGTTGGCAAAAGCTAGTCGAGCCTTCTGTATCCGTGCTGAGATTTCGTCACACACCAAACCACAAGGGCTGATGAGACTTCCAAGATAAGTGAAGCGGTCGACACGCTCAACTACTTCACTCCCTATCACTAGTTCAGGTGTCGAAATAAAGACTACTAACTTTAAACTCAAAAGTGTTTCACAAACCATCCAACAGAAAAATAATTGTGTGTATGCATTAAAGACTAGCCCGAAATAGACTAGCTCGCAGAAAACCTGACTACGCTTACATTTCTCGGTTAAAACTTATCCTCCCAACATCATATGTTCATTTGACTTTGGAGAAATATGTGACCTGTTTGGACTTGCTCGGTCTATCATCCCTTCTATTTTCAAAAGCAGGCTTACCTTTTCTGTTCCACTTGAGGTGAAGCGATAACAATTACATTATATTATTATAGTTATTTTGATGGAACAGAAAACAACTACATATAAACTATACTATTATAACTTTAAAATATCATTAAGAAGATTTATTTCTGAAACAGTTAATATTAGGAAACAGAATTACTTACATGAGGATAAAATTGCTGTATTACGTAATTAGTAAGTTGTGATACAATTGTCAAATTACCAACGCTTGGTCCGAAACGCCCAGTAATTGGATCTGGGGACTTAGATATTTCAAAAGATCCAAACCTATGAAAGAAACAACAACAAAAATATAGTGAAAACTATATATATATATATATATATATATATATATATATATATAAACTTGTCACAACAGAATTAGGTGAATTACACAATCAAATTCAGCAGAGTGAATAAAAAAAATGCAAAAAACACATTTGACCATGTAATTATGGAAATTTTATCAAACTGATGAGTTGAATTGATAGTTAGTAAACATGTAAGATGAAAGAAGTGTCTAAGATATGTTCAAGCATTGGATTATTAAACAATTTTAGTAATCGTTATGATAAAAAACAGAGTAACGATCTTTCAAAAAGTTTCTCTGAACATTATACTGCTTGGCTATTAAAACGACTACCAAGGTCAGTTAACAGTCCAATTCTTGAACATCGCGTTGACACTGGTCAGATCGCTCCATCAGAATCCTTCTTCAAAGTCATCCGTGGTGTCAAATAAAAGGGTTTTATTTAGAGTACAAGTCAGGAATTTATGTACCGCAAAGGTTTTAGAAATCCATGGACTCCAGACTATTCTCTATGTGCAGAAACATCAAGTTCAATTCCTCATTTTGCTTTGGTTTTAACCCCCACTGTGTTTACTGTGCTTAGTAATCTGTCGCTATTACTTATTTATTATCTCTTCATAATCATTAATCACCTATTATTAAAACAAATAACTATTCTATTTCTTATATTCATCGAATGAATGATCTTTATTTTAACAATTTTTAATCAACTGTCAGATTATTACATAACTCCTCTTCTATATTCAATTTTCCAGACAATTTACAATGAAATACTACTCTATGGTCACAATATATTAATATGCTTCAAGTTGTCAAATATCTTCCACTTCTAATCCATTTCACTTCGATCTATTAGGTACTAACTAATAATATAAATAAATAGTATATAGAAATAAGATATGAAAGATTCTCTAACTGACGATCATAAGGAAGATAGAGAAGAGAAAACAAGCATGTGCCAAGAAACGACTAACGAAGTAAGAAGGGGGATTTATGCCACAGTAAACCAAGGGATAGGATTAAACCACTTTTGAAGCTAAAGATCAGGCCTCCGCTATGTGTTAACCCTTTCGACTTTGAATGCAGATTATGGTGAAAATAGATGACCAGATTTGACCAGGTGCTCAACAATCGAGCTATTGACTGATTTCCCTTCACCTTTTAATAACCATGCTGAGTAGTGCACGGATAGGCGTATTTGGAATGATCACGCGTTGTCAGGCCAATAATAAAAAGTTCCACAAGAGCAAGTAGCTGATAGATACATATTAAGGTCACCCAAAGCGGTAGTTTATCCTTGGCGAATCCTTATATTAGACATCTCTTGGAAAATACAATTCGTAGCTCATTAGAGTAGAATTTCTCCTTTAAGGATCTAGACAATTGATTTCGTAAGATATCTCCGGCTGCATGTAACTCTTTAAAACTGAGTGTTTATGAACAAAAACTTCGATACAGTAATGAATTGGCTTCAGATTGTTATCAGTATTTGTCTCTTCTTAATTTTGCACCGATTATGTTTCCTGCGTATTGTATTATAATTGCCACAATAAGACATAAATGAATAGGCGAATTACGCGATGTTCACTGATTTGACATTATTTATATCTCATTTCGGTCATTCTAATGCAACAATTAAGGCTTTATAACTGTATAGCCTAATGATAATGAAATTATTTACAAAATCCGTTTGCTCGAATACATCAGATTTTTGAATGCTGCTTGGGGTTTTTTAAGCTATGAAATACAAACTCTTGTAATTGATAATCGTATACAAAAAATAATAATTACCTGATGAATGTCTTAGCTACTCTGCTAGTTATACTGGCTTTTTCAGTGATATTATCACCTGTATAAAACATGTCACGTTCAACCAGAGTGTCAGATGTGATAATTGATGCAGCTCGAGTAGTTGGAATGCCTAAATAATACATTGCCTAAAAACGATGGGATTAAGTAAGGCATGATATGAAAACTATAAGGAAATAACAATCAACAATACGCTATTACTAATAAAGCATATAATGTTAGCACGATAGGATACAGGCTACTGGATACTTTGGTCAGGTTCAAATTGGAATACGATAATTGGTCAGCTTTTCAAACAATCAGTGCTATTGAATGCTAAAATACTGTCACATAACGCCAAAGCATATTAACGAATGACCTTGCAAAAAATTGAGTTTATAGTCATTGAAGTTTGTCCACGCGAACATGCGTCCCCACAGAAATTTCCTGATGAACATGTTAAGATCAATGAATGTGTTCAGCATTATAAAATTGAAAAGAAAATGTGCTTGCTGTGTCTTAGTTTGAAACAAGACGACTATTGAACTAAACAATTACAGACAAAGTGCTGAAATGAAAATTGATTATCCAGAATAAAGGCTGTTCACCTTAAGTGAAAAGAACTGCCTCTTATAACAGACAAAAATAGAAAAGTTTTCTGTTCACACTACCTCCAACTCTATTTACTGACTCACATGTACGGTCCAAAGCACATACACAAGAAAAACAGAGAAAAGTATATGTCCATATTTTCGAGAATGCTATAAAGAGTTTGAGATGATAAAGTGCAGCTTTTTCATCATCAACGTTTATCACTTCATACTGTACCATCAATCAACGTTACGTTTTAATAAAAATACAATTGTAAACATTCGAAGAAAAACCATGAAATAAAATAAATCTGTATTACTCTGCCTCAATTTAGGTTTTGGCTTTATTCAAAATAAAAAAAAACAGATTTAGTTGAGTTATACTGGTGTCAGTTAATGATGAAAACCTTAAACTTAAACTCCAACTAGGAATAATGTGTAAACTCGTAAAAATCTATTAGAGACCATTTTAAGGGTTCGAGAAGATGAAGAATCCATATATAAGTATAAATTTCTATAATGATATTTTCTCGATTTTCAAACAGATTAACCTGTAGAAGACATAAATAGGTTTGATGACGATGAAAATTCTGTTCACACTTTGTAATATTATTACTTCTCCCCATAAATTATCCATATACAAGAACTATTTTCTGATTGGTCTAAAAACTAGGCAAAATTTTGTTTTGGTTGTTGTATGCTCATCTTGATGCTATTCTTTTATCGGATAGCCCACAACTAAATTAGAGCTAAATAAGAACTTTCGTCTAAATTTGAACGAATAGTTCCACAATATTTGGGCGCCGAGTTAATTTGAGACATTAAAAAGAAGAATATATTTGTAATTGTGTTGTTTGATCATATTTTCCCTGAAAAAGCTTTTACCAGATTGCCAGGCGAAACGTTGGATTTAGTTAAAGTTCATTCGCTGAGATTTTACAAATATATTCTTCTTTTTAATGTCTTAAATTAGAGCTATTTCTAAATGTGCTGATTACATGTTGAGCGTCCTTGACGTGACTGAATGCATAGTCAAGTGTGTTTGGGTGAATAAAAATGATTTTCCCACCCAAGGTCTAACTTTAACACTATGTTATTATAATTTATGGATTAAGCAATCACACTTCAGATAACACTTCTTGAATCTTTGGACGAAATCTACTACTATTCGTTTTTATTGGTATAAAGCATTTTATATGATATCGATCCGTGATGAAAACCTTAATCCTAGTTACAACAGACCGTACCCGGACTCCTAATTCCCAGCCTTAGCCACTTTTTATTCATCGACCACGTTGAAGCTGCTGATCTATCTTAATTTGTTTTTGCTACAGACTACTTTATAACTAAGCATTGTTTTTTAATTCATTTAAGGTTGTTGGTATAATACACTTCTGTAGTGTATGCTACTTACGTTCTCAGATATAAGTGATATGTAACACCAGTCGTAATTAGCATGTCTGCGAGCAGAAGGTTGAGAAGATTAAAATGAAGAGAAGAGAGAAGGAAACTGAAAGCAATCAAGATAACAAGAGGAATGAAGGAACCATGAAGCTTGCAAGAGACAATTCAAAGATAAGCAACTGATGGATTTAATGTATGGTTTTCATATTCTACGAAAGTACCTTGTAATTTTGCACTAAACAACAAACTAGTTACCCTGAAGTGTTAATGCGATTCAGTAATCTATTTAAATTCTTAATCTTTTAATTGACTGAAACGAGTCGAAATCTCAAGGTTGTTCTTCAGTATACTTTAGCCTTGTTCTGTTTCAATCAAAGTATTTGGTTCGAATGAACACATACAAAAGCTTCAACCAAGTCGCAGATTCGAATTTTTTTCTCAGTCTATTTCTGTTCGAGCAATCAAGTAGTGTTATTAATTTCTGAATAAAAGTGTGGTTTCAAAGCTAAGTACTCTGTAAATGAATCAAGACAAAATTACTTCTATTAGGTTATATATCTCCATAATTTTAAAATTACAAATGACTAGTGTTATTACATTTTAACAGCAACAAGTGGTGTGGTGATATTATCTGAAATAGAATTAATTCAAAAAAGATTGTGTACAAAGATTATTTCATACTCAAAATTAAGTGATTCACTTCATTACTAATGTTCTGTTAAATAGAGGAAAGATCTATATCAGATCTATCACATGATAAAAATGAAGTGTTGAGTGATTTGCCCGCTATTACTTCGACTTTGTAGAAAAACAGTCGTTTTTTTAGACCGGAGATATGGATAGGTTGCTAGTATCCAATTATAGGAGACTTCAAAGTCTGGTCCACATACAATGGAATCACCAAGTGAGCAATCTTGAGGTTAGGTATTGAGTAATACGTGAACATGATAAAATAATTGATGTGCAGTGAACCATCTTCAATTGGATGTTATGGACGCCAAGAGACTGCTTACTCCAATGCTGACTAGTATAAGAGTAGGTTAAAAAGGGCCAAGGGCTATCAGAATACGATATTTTATTAGTCCATGAAGTTACTGGGTAATGGTCTAAACCGATTAAACGGTATGCGGTTCTTTGTTGAGGACCATCATAATAAACACAATCTCACTAGAAACGTCAGGTGACAGGTCACCCGAAATCGGTTGCAGTAGTGCAGTTCCATTTACTTTTCTCATTATCTTTTAAATTTAGTGTTAATGTTGTCGAATGTTTTTTACTCCCCCAATCTCATTTGCTCGTTTTAAACGATATCCTCTATTCACTTAGCCAATGTTATTGATATCATTATCTCAGCATTTTTTCATATTACAATGTAAATTGTATCATTTCCCACATGAAAATATACTATATTTTGATAAATTGTTGTATAGATATTTCTATAATCTAACCTCACCTCAGAGCATAGAAACTCTCGTAAACTGGAACGTAATACTTTTCTTCCATCACCTTGCCGAGAAAATGGAGTTAAACCTGAGCCTTTCAATTGTAATTCCCAACGTTCACCTTGTTTATTGATCACTTCACCAAGTGAACTAGAAGAAACAAATAACTCCAGTGACTGAGTAATATACAATAACAAGATCAAAGTTTTCATTTATGATATATATATATATATATATATATATAAAATAACACAACTAAATTGAAAGGTGAGACGACTTTATTTCACTAGCGGCGACTTTCAGAACATAGACAAACAAATCTCTGTAATTATTGGTAAAACGAAAATATTTACTACAAACAAATGAACAATGATCGTACTATGATTTCATTTTAACAACTAAATATTTGTCAACCTTCATAATAATACGTGTTCAGCATAAAATGACGAGTCTTGAGTTCAACATTTTAAAGAATAATGAATGTTAGGCCCAAAAATAGTGTGGTCAGCAGAACCAAACAATCGTTGTAAAATATCATGAATTGACTGAAGTTGGAAATGTGAGTCTTTGGACAGTAAATTGGTAATATGAAAGCTTGTAACGAGGTATAAACGTCGTGAGTCTGAACGCAGTTGGTGTTATGGTTGCACATTGATGATGAGTTGCATGTTGGAACGAAACAGTTGTAAAGCCAATTCAGATAGGCCTTCAACAACTGACTACCAGAGTTCAGTCTGTAAGATACATAATGGAGAATCCGAAACATCCCAAATACGCTATACAGAACAAAATTGTGAACAATAATTTTAATCTTGAGTTGAAGGATGTGAAAGCATGAGAGTGTAAGTGCTATAATGCTCGCTTATTACAACCCAGCTATTCCTATTGCTTAGTATTCTTAACCACCATTTCACTCGACAATCCCCAAATCAGAATGCGATTGAATAGGAAAGAGATTATATTCCAAATAACAAGGTTAGATGTAAGTAAGAAGCACAGTAGGAAAAACGTTAGTATATTCAGTTTTTACACGAGAAGATTCTAAAGTGTTCTCCAAGTATCGACCAGCGCTGATTGGATTAGAATTAGCCAATCAGCGTGCACCAACGCAATCGTGCATTGAGCGTTCTCTAATCTAATCTATGTCCCGCTAACAGTAAGTTACCTATATTTCTATAATCTAGCTATTCACAGAATCTTTCGGCATAGACTACTGCTTTCAATGTGATCGTAAACATTGTTATCTGCATCACAAAAATATGGGAATATCGAGTGTTCTTTGGTAAGTATCGGCTGTTTTGATTTCAATTTGAAATACTATACAGATGTTGGCGTATATTTTTCCCAAATAACTCGGAATGTAAAGAAAATGTAACATTGGGAAAAACGTTATAACTTAAACTTTGAGTGGCATCTAAGCTATTGAGTTACGCATCATTAAACGGTATAACGCATCAGCTGAATCATTAAATTAGGTATCTATTTCCACCCTAAATGAAGAGGTCAACAATCCTGTGAGCATATACACATATGGAGCTGAGAACGGACTGGGGAACGAAATTAGTCATCACTAGGCCATTCAAGTAATGCATAGACAACTCGGTCTTACATTAGACCAGTTACATGCAGAATAGCCTGTCAGATGAGTTGGAAACGTACAAGTGAATTTGTTTTGTAATATTACGTACAGATTACTTGGTTGGAGTGAGCGCGACTGTTGTAAGCAATTGTTGGGGATTCTGGGTGATATGTTTCAGAATCAATCACAATGGCGTTATTGTATGCCCTCCTTATCTTACCTTAAACTATGAGATTAAAATGACTTTATAGCTTTCTTCCTACGATCTAATTCTTTCGTTCTGTATTATATCCTTATACACAATATTTTATATATTACTACCGCCCCCGAATGCCCTGGTACGGCCGAGAGCGGGGAGAGTCCGCTCTCCCTCTCGAAATACTCTCACACGGCCACGCGTATACAGCCTCTGCCAGGGAAGTCCTACTCATTGACTTCTCGTGGCGGGGGTGTTGTTTACGAAAATGAGAGGACGAAAAGCGAATGTCCGGCGCTTTAACCGGATCACAAACCAATGGTGCACATGGGCTCCAGTATCCTACGGGAACAAATGGCGTATGAACCAATTTTTGGTCACCGGCTACCATGGGACTGCTTCTCCTTACGATGCTCCACTGCCTTGTGGGTTAGACCTTTAGGTCAAAGGCTCGGGGTGTGGGCCCCTAAGATAACCACCTGCTTCGGTTTGGGCACCCGGGCAGTATCACAGCCCACACACAAATGATGAACCCTTTATGTCTATGGAAATTACCTTTCTTGCTTCGAAAAACAATCAATTGATTCAAATTATTATCATTACAATTATTGTCATTATTAATATTATTATTATTATTTTCCACATTATTCACCCTCTTTTATACTTATACAGCGGCTCGTCTTTGGTGGAAATCCGACTGTATCTAAACGTTCTCGAGTCACTGTCCGGTTGAAAATTGTATGTTACCACCGAATACGAGGACTGAAGCAGATTTTCTGAAACCACGTGCACCATTCAAACTGGCTGCCTTCAACGTTCGCACATTTATGCAGGTCGGACAACAGATAGGGCTGGCTATGTCTTTGGAAAGTCTTAATATCGACGTGTGTTGTCTATCCGAGACCCGTATTCAAGACTCTGGCGAAGTACTACAAATTCGATCTCCATCTGTCGCTTCGAAAAGCTTGTTTTACGTGCGCTTATCCGGGGACCCTGTGGCATCTTCGTCTGGTCTTGCTGGCGTTGGTGTCGCACTAAGCGCTAGAGCTGAGGCAGCACTAGTCGATTGGATCCCCATTAACAGTCGGTTATGTGCTGTTAGATTAGAAAGTTCCATCAAAGTGAGAAGAAATCGGCGTGAGAAACGATGTCTTTTCGTCATCTCCGCCTATGCCCCGACAGATTGCAGCCCGGATGCAATCAAGGATGAGTTTTACCACCAGTTATCAGTTCTTCTCCAGAAAGTGCGTTCGACAGATATTGTAGTACTAGCCGGAGACTTGAATGCTCAGGTCGGGCGTCTAGGCACAGAAGAGAGTCGTTTAGGTGGCCGATGGGGACTCGTTGGTCGCAGGTCAGATAACGGGGACCGTCTACTGCAACTTTGCACAGACCACAACCTGTTTCTGGCTAGCACTAACTTTCGGCACAGTCATCGCCGATGTGCCACCTGGCGTCCTCCCTCTGCATCTCAAGCCTGGACTCAGATTGATCACATCGCGATCAGCTACCGCTGGCGTGGTTGTGTACAAGACTGCCGCTCCTTTTGGAGTACCTATCTGGACTCTGACCATGCCTTGGTCTGCGCCAATCTTGCCTTACTTTTCAGTGGACAACGAAGTGACCGCCATCAACGGATTGATGTTAGCAAGCTGGTTGCAACTTCTGTTGCAAGTAAGTATCGAACCGAGCTAGCCTCTAGGCTAGCTACCACTCCACCGAAAAGTATAGATGAGCATTGGTTGCAATTGCATGACGCCATGAAAATGGCGGGAACAGTCAGTTGTGGGTTTGCGAAACGTCCCGCTTTTAAGCACTGGGTTTCTTCTGGTTCCTTACAACTCATTGAAGCCCGTCGGTCTACTCCGGGTGACCGTGAGTTTGACCATAAACGAAGGATGTTACGTAAGGAAATTGGGCAAAGCTTGCGTAAGGACCGAGAAGCCTGGTGGTCGATGCGTGCTAATGAGCTGGAAGCAGCAGCTGCATCTGGTAACTACCGGAAGCTCTTCCAGCTCATCCGAGCCACTGGCAGCAAGAAGTCTGGTGTGAGTGAAACAATCTGCGAGGATGATGGGATGCCAATCACTAACATCCATCGACGTCTTGGACGATGGGCAGAATTTTTCGAAGGGCAGTTCAACTGGCCTGCTGCTCCGGCAACATCGGTCAGACTGTCCTGCCCTCCATGGCCGGTGACGACTGATCCACCAAACGAGGAGGAAGTCCGCAAGGAACTCCAACTCTTGAAGCGTTACAAATCACCTGGCCCAGATGACTTACCTCCGGCTCTTTTTAAAGATGGTGGTGACTTTTTGACTAAGGAATTGACGACGTTGTTTACAAAGGTTTGGGAACTAGAGAGTGTACCAACGTCATGGAATGAGTCGATAGTTGTCCCTATCTTTAAAAAGGGTTCACGTCGTTCCTGTAACAACTATCGGGGGATAAGTCTACTTCCGATTGCGTCCAAGCTATTGGCTTCCGTCATACTTCGTAGGTTGTTCAAAACCCGAGAAAGATTGACTCGCGAGGAGCAGGCTGGGTTTCGTTCTGGTCGAGGATGTATTGATCATATCTTCACCCTCCGCCAAATGTTAGAACACCGCCATACTTATCAAAGGCCAACAATCGTAGTGTTTCTTGACATCAGGGCTGCCTTCGATTCGTTGGACAGGACTGTTCTCTGGGATTGTCTATTGAAGAAGGGTGTGCCTGAGAAGTTTATTAACATCCTAAAAGCCCTATATAAAAACACCTCAGGCAGAGTGAGGGCATACAACCACCTCTCTCCATTGTTCCATTCGAGCAGTGGGGTTAGGCAGGGTTGCCCAATCTCACCATTCCTCTTCAACTTTGCCATCGATGACATTCTGGAAACAGCTCAGATGAATGTAAATAATGGTCAGTCAGTCAGCTACAACGTAGGACCAGGCACATATGTGCATCGGCCCAGGTTGCCATACCTCATTAGCACAGCAAGATGAACACCGGATTCATAGGAGTGGTTAGGTCAAAGGTGGTAATATATAGGAGAAAGATTGCAATAAGGATATAGTATAGGAAGAAAGAATTAGTTCGTAGAAAGAAAGATGTGAAGTGATCTTAATCTCTTAGTTTAAGACAAGACAGAGAGTGTATACACCGACGCCATTGTGATCGATTCTGAGCCATGTCACCAAGGGTCTCCAATCATTGGTTACGAAAGTCACGCGGACCCCAACCAAGTAGTCTGCATCTACCAACATGGCTCAGACTAGAAGTTAGTGACTTCAGGCACTGATGCCACGTTTTGGTTTGGCTGCCCCTAACCTTCTTCCAACCATCCCCTACACCGGTTAGCATTGCACGTCGCGGTAATCGGTGTTCAGGCATACGTAATACGTGCCCAACCATCTCATCGATGAAGATTCACAATCTCATCAACTGATTTACCA